TGCTTATGCGTTATGCTTTATGTAAAAGCTTGTGCTCTCGGCTTAAGCATAAGCAAATGCATAAGGAAATGGACCAATCAATTTCCTTATGCTTATGCGTTATGCTTTATGCAAAAGTCTGTGCTCCGGCCTATAAGCTGCTGCAACTCAAACTTGAGGTAGCTGATGCGTGTATTATGCGCTGCAAGTGGTGGGGATCTAGGGAATTCTAAGCGCTGTTTATGCGCGCATTGAGTGAAACGGAACGTTTTCTATGTAATTCGTGCGCATAATGTGCGAAACGGAACGCAACCTATAGTCAAAGGACGGTACCCTAACTGTAACGTATTACTTTTCAAAGTTGGTAACTTGTAACTGTAACTAGTTGTTTTTTAAGTGAAAAGAACTGTAACTTTAGCTAGATACTTTTACAAAATAACTTTCTCAACCCTGCATTTACATCATGTATTGATGAGACAAATACCCTCGGCAATATTAAACTCTCTTTTTCCACAATGGTCCATCTCCACTTTTTCAAGACTCATTCCAGTATATTAGGCCGGTATTCATAGTCCGTTCTTATGTGGCGGCCCACTTGTCCAATTCCCTAGACGGGGAAATACGCAGATGGCGACAGCGGTCGACATTGCATGGAGACTCTTCTATAGCATACTTGTTCAAAGTCTCAGCCAACGAGAACACACATTCCCAAAGATTCCCAAAAAAAGTATAGTTAGTTTCCGATCCCAGTAATTTTAAGTTCCATTATTATAGTTCCTCTCGTTTTCTGTGATCATAAGTTAGTCGCGGCTAGATTTTGTATTTTTGCAATAAACTTATTGTTAGAGTTAATAAAGTGACCGGAATTATTGCTGTCCTAATCTTCGGCGTTACAAATCGCGCCCCAGAGTAACACGAGACTCGAAGGGCGTATCGGCGAGAACGCGCACGTGGCCTGAACGCCATAAGTGGTGACCCCGACGTGATCGCCGGTAACATTTTCTTCGCGAGGTGACAATCATAACGGATCACAAACCGTTACAATACGCATTCCAGAAACCGTTAGACAAGGCATCCGAGAGACAGAGGAGGCAGCTGAGCTTCATTAGCGAGATCACCACGAAGATTGTGTACATCGCTGGGAAGGAGAACACGGTAGCAGATACGTTGTCACGCGTAGAAGCCATTGACATGCCGACAGTAGTGACAACGGACGAATTATACGAGGAACAACGAAAGGATGAAGAGCTAAAGACGCTACTCGAGTCTAACACAGCGCTCACCTTGAAGAAACTTCGTTTGGACGATGGAGACAAGACCATCTACTGCAACGTCACAGACGAAATTAGAATATACGTCCCGACATCGTTACGGAGAAGGATATTCGACGTCACGCACAGAGCTTCACACCCGAGCGGCCGTACCACGAGGAGGATGATCGCGCAGAAATTCGTGTGGCCTAGCATGAGGAAGGACATCGCACGATGGGCAAAGACATGCCTAGCCTGCCAGAGAGCTAAGATCCACAGGCATAATGTACGTAACCCTGAGTATATACCGATACTTAATGATCGATTCTCGCATATACATGTAGATATAGTGGGACCCCTTCCTCCTTCAAGAGGGTTCCGATACTGCTTAACCATGATTGATAGAACTACAAGATGGCCGGAAGCAACGCCAATCGCAGATTGTACAGCGGATACAGTGGTCGACGCGTTCTTTAATACATGGATCTCGCGATATGGATCACCAACAACAATCACCACCGACAGAGGAGCGCAGTTTGAGTCAGCGCTATTCGACGCCCTAGTCAAATTAATTGGAAGCAGGAGGATTAGAACCACAGCCTACCATCCGCAATCGAATGGGATGATCGAGAGATGGCACCGTTCACTTAAATCAGCGATAAAGTGCCATGAGACGCAGAATTGGGTAGATACCCTACCAATGGTTCTATTGGGCCTTCGTACCAGCTATAAGAGGACATCCAAACCTCAGCGGCGGAACTAGGTTTATGGCAGCACTCTAAAACTGCCCGGAGAATACTTCACCTACGAAGATCCGATCGGATACCCGCAAATCTTCGTGGAAAAATTGAGGGAGCGGATACGCCAAGTACGAAAACCGACGAGAGCTCATCACGCCAAGATCAAGACATTTATCCACAAGGACCTGGAGGACGCCACGCACGTGTTCGTTCGGGTGGACCACCCCAGAGGACCCTTGGAGTTGCCCTACGAAGGGCCATTTCGCATAATCGAAAGAACCTCTGATTTCCTTTACAGAATCAACTATAAAGGACGACCGGAGGAAATAAACACCGATAGGCTGAAACCAGCTTTCACCGAGAGTGAGAGAGAAGAACTACCACCCCCAGAGGGCGGAGATCATCAGCAGCCAGGGACATCGGACGCATCACCCAGCCAAAGAGAGGGACGATCCGAGCGGAGAATCCAATTCGCGACTCGAACTGCGAGTCACTAGAGGGGGAGTACTGTGGCGGCCCACTTGTCCAATTCCCTAGACGGGGAAATACGCAGATGACGACAGCGGTCGACATTGCATGGAGACTCTTCTATAGCATACTTGTTCAAAGTCTCAGCCAACGAGAACACACATTCCCAAAGATTCCCAAAAAAGTATAGTTAGTTTCCGATCCCAGTAATTTTAAGTTCCATTATTATAGTTCCTCTCGTTTTCTGTGATCATAAGTTAGTCGCGGCTAGATTTTGTATTTTTGCAATAAACTTATTGTTAGAGTTAATAAAGTGACCGGAATTATTGCTGTCCTAATCTTCGGCGTTACAAATCGCGCCCCAGAGTAACACGAGACTCGAAGGGCGTATCGGCGAGAACGCGCACGTGGCCTGAACGCCATACTTATATTCAAGATCGTCTTAAGGTGCAATTTCACGTAGCGTCAAAAAGCTAGCGGCTATCCCCACTCTGTGATACATTTCCTCTCAATAGTAAGTTGCCGATAAAACGCCAGCCGCTAAACGCCCGCTACTTTTTCATGGAGCGAAAAATCGCTAGTCGCTGTGGATTTATATTTTCTGTATTTTTAAATTTTTTCTATAGATTTAAATTCGTGTATGAAACTGACAATTAGGATGCGTGTCAAAGTGCGTTTAAACTGTCCGAACAGTATTTTATCGACAACATTACAAAATACATTGCCATCAGTAATAGCTAAAGAGATTAAGAAACGACGAATACTGGTGTTGTGTGCATTTATGCGAAAATTGCAAAAATGAAAAGAGACCGTACAGGAAGAAGCAATACTGGGTAGCACCATATCTAAAGGATCGTCCAGAGCACAGTTTTTATTATGTGTCAAT